AGATAGTGGTGTACCTCAGAGACTGTCCACTCTACTTCCACTTGACCTTAAGAACATGGCTATGTGGGTTTCTTTTGAGCCCACCTGACATTTACTGAGCACTGTTAAGCTGATAGTACTCAGACAGGCATTTTAGAAAATGGGGAAGAAAAACCTATTAGAAGTGAGAGTTCGGAATGAGGAGAACTAGAGCAGGGCTCCCCTTGGCCATAAAGCACTTTGTGTAGATTTAAAAAGTGCCTCTCCCCAACTGCTCATTCTGTAGGTCTGAGTACAATGTGTGAATGATGAGTAGACTTTGGATTTGGGAACTTGACAAACAGGGCTATTTAGTAATATTAAAATTTTCCCTTTTATGAATGTATACTCACAAATATACATGTTTTTTGTGACACTTTAAAAAAAAATCCTCACCCAAAGATATGTTTTTATTGGTGAGAGAAAGAGAGAGATTGGGGGTGGGAGGGGGTGGGGGGGTAAAAGAGATAATGGAGAGAAGAGATCATTGATGGGAAGAGTGATTACATAGCAGATTTCAGGTTCCCCCTTACAAGTACAAATAAGTGTAAAAGAAATAAATAAAACACATCAAAGAAGAAATGGCACAACTTGCAAATCAGTCAGATTCGGGAATAAACATTTTTGCATGTCTATGTGAATGGTGTCAATGTCTAAGAGGCAGAGAAAATGAAAGAAGCACAGGCAAAAGCCATATAGTTGGTTTGGAGAACTAGTTTGAGGAGACAAAAAGCTTCATAGGAAACAATCTGTAGGCAGTGGGGAATACAGTTCAAACATAGAGATGAGGAAGCAGAATGGAATAACCAACCTAAAAGGAGAATGCATGGGAAAGGATGTGCTCAAAAATGAGTGAACATGAAGATGAGCAGGAGGCTAAAAACTCTGAATAACTCTTTTTAGGATTTGGGAATGAGAAAGAAAGTGAGAAAAATCAGAGGCTTAGAAAGAGATGTTGGTAAGAACAATACAAACAAAAGCAGAAGTAAATTTCAAGAAGGAATATCTGATCAAGATTTTCTCATACCACAGATACTGTTGTTTGGGTTTCTCCAAAAGGGAACCAGTGGTTTACCTTAGAGAGCATCTTTGGTACAATGTTAGTATTATGAGAACGGTTGCAGAAGGGAGGTAAAAGGGAGAGTGAGAAGGAAGTATCATAGAAAATATAAAGATAGCCCACACTAATATTCCAATTGTATAACCACCTATATGCAGCATATATTACAGGCCTTCCAAGGTCTGCTGTGTATCTCTTGAGTTTCCTATTGCTGCCATAATGAATGACTCTGAATTTATAGGCATTAAATCACACAAATTTATTATTTTCTAGTTTTGGAGGTCAAATGTCCAAACAGGTTTTACTGAGTTAAAATCACAGTGTCAGCAGTGCTGATTCCTTCTGTTTTTGACACTGAGACATAAAAAATGACACTGTGTAAATTTAAGGTATCTAACATGATGATTTAATATACGTACTTGAATTTTACTAAGTCAGTATATCTTAAATGTTTTCATACACAGACACACACACACACACACACACACACACACACACACATCACACACCTTTATACCAGCCCTGGTAATCACCATTCTACCATTCTACTCAGTATCTTGGGACCCTCTGAATAACCCAGGATAATATCCCTTTCTCAAGATCCTTAATCACATCTGCAAAGTCCTTTTTGCCACGTAAGGTAACATATTTACAGTTTTCAGGGAATAAAATATGGACATTTTTGAGGTGTCGTTATTCTGCCCACCAGAAAGTCTAAGTTAAAACATCAGAAGTGGTTTTGATTTGACTTTGATTTAATGCTTATGCATTGGTTTACCTTTGGGTTAAATAATATGAGATTAGTTCATTAAATAGAAAATAAAAGTAACATATTTAATTAAGAGTTTGTACACTAGTCTATAATTTTCTGTTGAAAGTTCTTTAAATTAAAATTTTTAATTCTCATCACAAAAGTCCATTTATTGGTAGTAATAACAATAAGCTGATAGCTTTCTACCAGTAGCAATATTTTGACGAGCCTATTTTCATTGAAGCTATCTTTTATATTATAGAATTCACTCTTGGCAGCATCTTATGCTATTATTTGCCTCACTGATGTTTTTAAAATAAAAATTTTTATTAAAGAGATTTCAAAGCTCAAAAATAATTTTTCTTTTGTATACATTTAAAGTATGTACATCTTAACCTACTAATGTAAAGAAATATTTGTATTTCTCAAACTATTCAACTTACAGTTTTTATGCCATTTTTTCTTTCTATACAAAATTTAAGGGATAATGGGCAAAATTGCTATGAAGATTAAATTAGATAATATATGTAACACAGTAGCACAGTTGCTGACTCATAATAAGTAAGTCTTCAATAAGTTTTCAGCCTAATCCAAAATATATCCCAGGAGATTTGCCCACTATTACTCAAATAAATAAAATGATAGATGGTGTTTTTTATTAAACATATCAAAGTTTAAATATTTGGTTGCTTTATATAATATAATAATTTTAACATGATAAATGGTATTAAATGGTGATTTATATTATAATTAACTAGTCAGTCAGATTTTCAGATGAGTGCACAAAACAACTTTTGTTTAATTAATTCTATCTAAAGATGCCAGTAAATTATGAGGAAAATTTTGTTAATTTCATATATTCAATACAGCATACTCAAAGCTAAAACTATTCAGAAGATCAATTGCAAGGAAATCTAGGAGACAGTAGCACTTTAAGAAATAAAAGTCACAAAATAAGTTTTCCAGTGGCTATAATTTATCTTCAAGTGGCACTATGTCAGATTTCTGACTGTAATCCTATGTTTCTATCCCTTTAACTCCTTTTGATTAAATAATGTGTCTGTGTTTTGACTGCCTATTTTCTTTTTGTGAAGTTGTCAAGTGATCTCCATCTTGTCTGTGTAATTTAGGAGACTTTCACGTCACTCTCTGAGAGACTGTCACACAAGTCCAACTAGGAGCATAATTTACAAGGTTCAAAATGAACAGCCATTATTAAATACTAGAGGCCCAATGCACGAAATTCATGCAAGAATAGGCCTTTCTTTCCCTGGCTGCCGGCGCCAGCTTCCCTCTGATACCCGGCACCCGGGTTTTCCTCTGACCACTGGCAGGCACCCGGGACTGGGGCTACCCTTACAGCCCCAGCTTCGACCGAAAGGTCATCTGGTCTAATTAGCATATTACACTTTTATTGTTATAGGTTGTCTCATCTGCAATGAATACATAGGCTCTCTCATTAATGCTTGTTAGGCATTTAACTAGATTAAAAGAGGTAAGAAACTTTTAGATAAAACTTTCACACAAATATTTCTTTGGCTGAATATACAATTTTGGAAGTTGTGATTTTATATGTCCTTAGGTTAACAGCTGGTAGTCAATAGTAATCTTGAATAATATGCACAGTACATATTCTACTCTATGAAGCTAAACACAGTGACAGCATGGAGTGGGTTTTCTCAGGTTTGAAGAGAAGTTAATATTTTTGTTATTACTTTATCAAAGTACTCCTGTCTTGTGTCCAGCAGTCATTGGTTCCAGTGATGTTTATGTAGCTGGCAGAAAATTTATCTTTCTCTTAACATTTCAATGCACAATGTCTTTTCTGATTACAATAGGCAATCTAATTATTTCTTCTGGTTGAGTAATTCCTTTCCAGGCAAAGTGAAATCCTCAATGTTTTCACGGGAACTTATTTTTGATAAGTACATGTGTGGTGGGTGCCAAATAAGAAAGTACAATGACTTTTAGTAGATGAACAACTTGTGATAAAAATTTTTAGTTGGGTATACTTGTTTATATATCAGTGTGCCTATTTTCAACAGAGCCTATAAATTGGAAGCCTACCCTTATCTAGCAATCATCTCCCCCTCTCAGTCCCACTCCCATACCCACTGAACTTCACCCAGTGGACTCATCTCTTTTTACGTATTTATCGGTGTGCAGGTTTTATGTCCCCACATGTACTCTGAGCTCTACTCACTGTACTTAGCTCCAAGTCTTGACTTAATACAGCTAACATTGAGTCCTTGCTATGTGCTGGATGCCATTCTAAACTTTTTAGTGTATTAACTCCTTTCATCTTCAAAATAGATGAACTAGTTACCCCTATTATCTTCACTTTATAGAGAAGGAAGCAGAAACTCAGAACAATGAGACAATCTGGCCAGAATTACACAGCCTATAAGTGTCCAAGCCTGTTTTAACCGTGGCTGAGAACCACTGAGCACAGACCCACTGCCCTGCCTTTGGAGATCCCAGTGGGTCAAGTACCCTGTGATTGGCTTTCAGAGCACCAAGCACCTTTCCCCTAACCTCTCTGCCATTATGATGTTACATTTGTCTTTATGTTTGACTAATGGTTTCCACTCCCATCATACCCAGACATCATAGAATCCCTAGTACTTATCAGATGAGTAATAACAACTAATATTTATTAAAATTTTACCATGTGCCAGGCACTGCATCTTATTTAAACTTCAAAAAGACTATGAGCTACCTACCAATTTACCTCCACTTTAGAGATGAAGGAACTGAGGCAGAAGGAAGTTCACAATTTGTTCAAGGTCACGCAGCTAGTAAATGGTGGAGCCAGGATTTAAAATCAGAGGTCAAACTCAAAAGCAATGCTCTGAATGAATGGATGGATGGATGGATGGATGGATGGATGGATGGATGGATGGATGGATTAATGAAAATATAGCTTGGAGGGGCAGGAAAAGCAATAGGGAGGAAATATTTGACATATCTGGAAGAGCAAAATAAAAAATATTTCTATAGGCCTAGGAAACAACTAAATAAAGTAATTCAGAACAGAGCGCCCAGACTAAAGCATAATGGGTGCTCAATGAATGGAAATAAATGATTGAATAGCTTTATAGCCTATAACTTAAAAGTTTTGCATGTGTGTTTTACTACTAATGTTCCCTGCACATTTTTTTTTTCTTTCAGTGCCACCATGGGCCTTAATTGCCATAGCCATAGTCGTGGTCCTTTTAGTCCTGACCTGCTGCTTTTGTATCTGTAAGAAATGTTTGTTCAAAAAGAAAAACAAGAAGAAGGGAAAGGAAAAGGGAGGAAAGAATGCCATTAACATGAAAGATGTGAAAGACTTAGGGAAGACCATGAAAGATCAGGTAATGTATTCATTCCATAATTCTTCTGAGATTTTATTGGAAATTAATAACTGGTTTATTCTTTTATGTGAGATAAATTAACAACTTCTAGGTAAATATAATTGTTTTAGAAATGCATTGTAATCCTTTCAGTCATTATTCAATATCTCAAAGTGCAATGGAAATATTTGGTAGGGTTTTTAAGTATCCTAAGGATATAAGACAGAAAAGGGCTTCCATGACCTTCTTGGTGTATCAGCATATTGGAATGATACCTGAATATTCTTAGCCAGTCTTAATTGTATTATAGGTTAAGGAACATATTAAAGAATATCTGAATGTTTTCCCTCTTGGGCAAGTCACCTTTCTAACATTATCACTTTTTTTTTTTTTTTTTTTTTTTGAGAGAGAGAGAGAGAGAGAGAGAGAGAGAGAGAGAGAGAGAGAGAGAGAGAGAGAGAAGTAAAGTTTTATTACAGAAAAGCTTCTTGCTGAAGGGAGGGGCCCAAGCAGATTGCCCACATTATCACTGTTCTTAATTGCTGTTAGATAACTGATTCTTAAAGATGTTTATCACACTTGATGAAAGCAGCTCATGGTATGATCCATCCAGATCAATAATAAGTGCTTGGGAATAATGAATGATACAGGAAAGGGAGAAAAGTATGAGCTGGCCCTAAAGAACTGGGTAGAATTTAAGGCAAAATTCTTATTTCCTCACATTGGAACAATTAAAACCATAACAAAGATTATAAAATCAATCTGGTTGGGTTATTTTCTCAAGTCTAAGGAAGCTGTTTGGATGTCCTTTATATTCTGTATTTTTGCTAATTTAACTGAATGATTTGGTTCAGAATACTTTACTATTAGTAATTAAAATGATTAAGTGCCTCTTCAGTTTTTTTGAATCATATCTACCATGTATATTTCTAAATAACATTTATTCATATTAAAATATAGAAAGAGTATGCAAAAGAATAAAATTTTCATATATCAATGTTTTCCTTCAAATAATTCAAAGTTCTATTTATTTCAAAATAGCAACATATATATGCAGTTTTATAAATTCATCTTATAGTATTAATTATTAAGTAAACTCATAAATATGTGAATCTTAGGAACAATTGAATCAACAAAGCCATATTAGTACATTTGCATAGTTTAATCACTCACTCAGGACAATAGCCCCTCTCGTGTTTTAAACACCTTTTCTCAAAGACACAGTAATGTCTATTGAAAATAACTTCACAAAGCTCAATTTTCACTCCCTGAACTTTTATTAGGTTTCAGGGCCATAGAATGGATAGGCTAGTGCTCATGCTCAGAGAGTTCTGTCCTGAGCTCAGAGTAAGAAGGGTTACATTTTTCTGAAAGTTTCTAATCACAACCATGGAATCCAATGCACAAAACTACAGACACATGTGTCTAATAAGGACTTTTCTTTCTGGTTAATCTGTTATATAGAAACTGAGATTTTAAAGCATCTCTTGCTTTATTTCAATATGTCTATAGCAAGCAGGACTTGATACAGATTTATTTAAACATTGTTTAAATGTAGAAACAATCTTCAAGATGGACATGAAATGAATTATTTTTTTACTTTACTTTCCACTAAATATGCCAAACAGTAGGTTGAAAATACAATACTATAATTTTCGTAACTATAATAAAATTAAAATTCCAGTATCCTGAAATTAAAAGTTAAAAGTATCAAATAACATTATATTATTTGATAATATAATTATATTATACTAGAGGCCCATTGCACAGAATTGTGCATGGGTTGGATCCCTCAGTCTAGCCAGCAATGAATCAGGACCAATCAGGGCTGTCCAATCTGGGGGGAGGGACTGTGGGAGGTTGGCCAGCCACTGGAGGTTGGCTGTGGGAGTGCACTGACCACCAGGGGTTAGCTCATGTGTTGAGCGTCTGCCCCCTGGTGGTCAGTGTGTGTCATAGCTACCGGCCAGTGGGCCAATCATTCGGTCAACTGGTCATAAGAGTTGATTAAGCTTTTATATATTTACTAGAGGCCTGATGCACAAAATTCATGCAAGGGGCTCAGCCCTCACAGCTCCAGCTGCCTTGGCCAGCCCTTGCAGCCCTGACTGGCCCTTGCAGCCCCTCGCAGCCTTGGCCTACTCTTGCAGTCCCAGCTGCCTCAGCTGACCCTCACAGCCCCGGCTTTGTCCAGAGGGTCCTACGGAAGGACATCCGGAAGGACGTCCAGAAGGTCTTTTGGCTATCCAGTCTAATTAGCATATTATGCTTTTATTATTATAGATAGATTATATTAATATTAAATTAAATAACTATCATATTAACATTCTCTTAAATAACTATAATGTTTGTTCCTAAGACAAGAAATTTGCATTTTTCATTGTGAAATTTTTTTCTGTATGACATAAAAGACTATATAATAGTTTAAAAATAGTAGTAGTAGTAGTGTTATCTCCCCTGTTATAACCTGGTTAAATAACCAAGATCTTAAAAGTAATAAATACAGAGAACTGACTGTAGCTAATTTTTCACTGGTCACCTATTCCTTTAAATGGGAGGGGAACAGAAAATAAGTCAAATAAGGAAATATTAATAAATAAGTGATAGTTTATAGCAATTTACTGTCACAACATAGCATTTAAAATTTCAACCCTTAAAAAGGTGTTTAATTATTTAAGTAAATCAGTTTGTCCATGTAGGATTTTTATAGGTCTTATTTTGATTTATAAACAATTAAATGTTAAATGACTTACAAACAATTAAATTAAATGTTTGGATAAGTGAAAATAAGCTCTATAACTACTAGTAAACAGTTATATAACAGTACCTTATGAAACTTTTTAAGGCAGACAAAATAACTATTAATGAGTTCTATCGTTTTATGAAGGGGAAAGATGAAGAAGCAAAATGAACTCAAAGATTTTAAGATGCTATATCACATTTGATCATACAAATTCAAAACAGCCTTAATACAAAGTAAAATTATTTTTAAATATTTATATTTTTTAGAATATTTTAAAACAGAACATTGGTATGAACATGGGAAAGATGATGTACTTATTTAAAAACAGATGTGAGAGGGATTTTAGACACAATTTCTTAAGATACCTAGGTTTAGGAAAATCAATGTTTTTACTATTTCAATCCATATAAAAGGTCACAGAAATTTAAATTTCATTGTCCATGGCTGCGTGTCTCTAAGGTAAAATTTTATAACCAAGGAAGAATGTTTTAATATTTTTCAATGTCAAAAAAAAACCTATAAATAGTATTTACACAGAAAAAGATATATATTTAAGATTTTTCTAATGTCTTAAAACTTCAGAACACTAAAAATCCAGAGGGAAAATATCAACTTAGAAAGTCATAAGTCTGGAAAGGTCCTTTCTCCATTGCTTTCACTAATGTGTGTAGATACTTTAATTTTTATTTCTTCCTTCTATGTCCTCCTTATCTGTGTGTGTCTCATGACTGTTCTGGACTGTCCCTTGCGGTAGGTTTCCTCTGCTACTTAGACACACCTACGTCAACACTCGGATACATTTAGTGGCCTGGGAGCTGGGACTCCACAGCTGAGGGTGGACTATTCTGACACACATCAAGGCTGAACTAAATTGATTTTTTTTTAAATGAAGGGTTCTCATATTCAATATTATTAACTGGTTACGTAGAGTATTATTAGAAAGCTCAAGTTTTTAACCGATGGGCACAGAAAGAAAATGCATTTCTTTGTTGCTCCCTTTCTACTGGGCCCTATCAAATCCAAATCTGAACAATTTAACTTAGAATGAACAAGTGCTCCTTCTGATGGTTGTGAACTAAGAGCCTTTTGGATGTTTGAAGCAAACCAGAAGCATATGCACTAAATCTTTGAAATTTAAAACAAGGTCGATGTTCCCAGCACAGCTTTTTTCTACAGCAATTTATCAAACTCTCAGAACTGCTGGGTTTACAAGCTGTTTCTTCTGCATTTTGTTCCACTGGGGGGAGAGATGGGGGCTGGTATTGCTCTCGAGATATTATAATGGCCACTGATTTAATAGGCCTGAATTTAATGTAATAGTACAGAAAATGTCTTGGTTAAACTCAGCCTTTGGGACAAGAATAGACTTAATCACTGTAGTGATGAACAGTGGCACTGAGAAATTATAAAAAATTTAGACCTATTTCATGCAGAATAATTGCAGAGATGGTCTTGCACCTTTTATTAGGGCAAAAACCACTCAGGGAGAAGGAGATTTAATATCTCAGCTATTTCAAATCACACTGGGCTGAAACATGATATGCAAATTGTCAGTTCTGAAGGAGACTTTTGAAAAAGTATTTTAATCTGTAAAATCTTTTATTATAGAAATGTGCAGATATTTCAGACAGATGTACGCATTAGGTTGCTTTTATTTAAAAAAAATTAAAATCTTACAGGGAGGCACATTACCTAAGCTACAATTTTCTAAGCACATCAATGACAGCATTAAAGACTTACACACAGCTTAGGTTTCAGTGATCTTTTCTTTTCACTTTAGTGACACCCCGTACAAAAATTAAAAGATTAGCATACATTTTAAAATAATTATGTTGCTCCCTGCCTTTGGCTTTCAGTAAATCAACATTTTTATTATTCAAGAAAGCACTGAAATATAAATTAAAATTTTCAAATTAAATGGTATATGGCTAACCAAATTTTTTAACATTCTACACTAGTCTATTAATGGTCTTTGTAAGCTCCGGAAATTTTTCAGGAAGCACAAAAGAAAAGCATCTCTGACTACAGCTCAACTCTGTTTATCGGATCTTCCCACACAAACAAGTGTGCTAATATGATGCCACCAAGTCTCAGGGGTTTTTTTGGAATCAAATTGGAGTTCACTGGGTAAAGCCAAATTGGAAAATCTTGTCAACTGAGAGACTGAGGGTGCCATTTGGAAGCCCACTGAGGGTCTCTGTGCTAATGGATACGTCAGCAGAAAGTCTTCTCTCAGCAGAAAGAAAGAACATGCACCTGGGAGCTGGGGGTGGTGGGAGCTACTGAGTGGTTGAGCCGTAGTTTAATGATTCCAATGATTCCAATGCCTTTGTGAAGCCCGGTTATGCTTCTTGGATTCCAATTCTATAAGAATGCTCAGGTTTATTTGATTACTGACAAGAATTACGATTCCCTTACTTTGTCATAGATATAAAACAGTCTACTACTCAGATGTCTTAACTTGATTCCTATGAAGATCTACAGTAACACACACACACACACACACACACACACACACACACACACACACACACACACACAGTAGGGAAAATGCCATAACCAAAAACTAAGAGGAAATATTTTCTATCTATAACAACAGGAAGGTCAAAACCACTAAAATACAGGGAGTCGTCCCTACAAATCAATAAAAAGCAACCAACAATAGAAAAATGAGCAATGGCTATATATTGGCAGTCTCTAGAAGAAAGGAATAAAATGGTCCATATAAAGATTTAAAATTTTTATCAACCTCGCTAATGGTTAGGGATATCTAACACTATCGTTGTTAATTTTGAATAATAAGTCTTCATTGACTTTTGATTCTTTAATTCTTTAAAGTAATAGAATGAATATTCCTAGTAACAAAGCTTTTACTAGTAATATTTATGATCTTTATAACCTTTAATTATTTCACAAAATTTTTTCATTTTATTGGGGGAAATATTATATAGTTTTTTGGTTTTTAAAGGAGGAGCATTTTAATGTACTTTATGAAATAATGAGCTTTCTAGTGTTCCAATTTATATTACACTTAAGTTTTAGGTTATAAAAATTATTCAACTGATACAAACTGAGCTTTGAGAGTTCAGTCCCAAAATTTTTATTCATTAATGTAAAATAACCTTTTATATAGATTTCAGTATAAAAAATTACAAATATCACTTTTTATTTGTTGATATCAAATGGACCCATAAATCAATTTAATTCAGCCTAGCTTTCTATGGAGCTGTTATGAAAACAAAATGGTAAACTTAAACTGGAAATGGGGTAGATCTTTCTCTAAAAATACGTTTGCTGGTGGCATGTTTTTCCTCTTTTTCCATAACCATTGCAAATGTATATATGACACATGACAAATTAAATTTTTCTGAGAATCACTTACTCAACTGTTTTTTCATAGGAAACAAGGCAACAAAAGGCCACACATTTCACATAAATTGCTCCACTGCATGTAACAATGGTTCTACATGATAGCTAGTGCCAATTGCTTTAACCTACATGAATGTGAAACCTGGCCTGGTTAATAGCATGTTTGTTATAATTCTGAAATAAGCAGTTTTTAGCAGAGCCAAATATAATACCAAGTTGACATTTGCAACAACTTTACATTTTTTGCTTGCAATATTCTTAGGGGCTTCTTCCATTGCTTCCATGTTGCTTGCTGATGGGGTGGGGAAAGGGAGGAGGGAGAATTCCATGCACAAATGGAATTTTTAAAAAATATGTAAGCATCAAATGTGAATGTGTGTCAGACAAACTGAGATTTCCAGCATCTTGGTGCTTGCTTTTGACAGCTTGGAAGTATAACCACAAGCCCAGTTTCATTTGGATTTTGATGGAATTCACTTGAATTCACATATGATCCATTTCCCTACTCATAGGCCCTTAAGGATGATGATGCTGAAACCGGATTGACTGATGGGGAAGAAAAGGAAGAACCCAAAGAAGATGAGAAATTGGGAAAACTTCAATACTCCTTGGATTACGATTTCCAGAATAACCAGGTCAGAGGGGAGAATGTTTTCTTATCCCATTACATTGCCTGAAATTACCAAGTAGAAATTGAAGCAAGTTATTTTTTTAAAACATTTTGTTAGCTGCAAGGGGAAAATGCAATTATCAAAGCTATTGATGAAATAATTTCTGAGTACAGGCAGTCCCCTACTTGTTAATTTAATGTATGATAATTAGAATTCACAGTATTCAACTGATTACATCTAATGTATGGCACTTATAATAGGAGACAGAATACAAATTAACTTGAATCAGTCAGACTTATTCTGAGAGTTCCATCCATAGTCACCCCTCACAGCCTTAGCTAGGACAATCTTTCCTACACTTCCTGGCTTTAGATCCAAGCAGGGTGAGAGGCCTTTGTGTTATGCCACTAGTCAAGCCAAAGTTTTGAAACATAACGTATCAGTATGACAGGAATAAAAGATGGAAAATTGAAATTCATGAGTTCCAAAGGCATGCCTTGTGTAATAATATCATGATATTAGGTCAAACTCTTGATGCTAATAAGATAGAAGGTCTAGAACAGTAAAAAGACTAGGAACTTGATTTCTAGTGCCTATGACTACTGCCCAAAAAGTGTCAAAACTCTAAAGGAGATAATGAAACAGGAATATATGCTTCAATTTCTCAAAAGCCATGAAGTGCCACCTAGATTAACAATAATTAACTGCCTTTTATTGACTGCATTATAGAAGTAACACTAAGATAGCTGTTAGAAACCTCTCTACATAAAAAGGCCTTCCAGATTCTATGACATTGATGAATATACTCCTTTAGCTTCTGAATTGTTAAAGTAAAAAGGTAGACAAGAATTACTGGAGCTGGCCAAGTTAGAGATCTGACTCTTAAGAATCTTTAAAACTCTCCATTTTGTTTTGCTTCACTCCTCATTTTGGATGAGGAGAAACTGGTAAATGTGAAGTATGTACAATTACTACTAATACCACATATTTCCAGTATGATGAGGAATGAACCACGGATAAATCAAACTCGAAGGTTCAACTTTGAGAACAAAGGCCCAGTCAGTAATGCTGTGTGAGAGCTCTAAACCATTGCAGGAATTCGGGGGGTTATTTAAAAATTGATAGTTCAAATAATGTCTGAAATTTCACTTTCTGAAATTTCTACATTTCTCATGAAGAATGTGTTGATATGTTCTATCACATTAAAAATAATTTTAGCCCTAGCTAGTTTGGCTCAGGGGATAGACTGTCACCTTGTGGACTGAAGGGTCCCAAGTTCAATTCCTGGTCAGGGCACATGCCAGAGTTGTGAGCTAGACCCCCAGTGGGAGGCATGCAGGAGGCAGCAAATCAGATTCTCTCTCATCATTGATGTTTCTCTCTCTCTCTCCCTCTCCCTTCCTCTCTGAAATCAATAAAATATTTAAAAATAATTATTTTATTTAATCAACTTCATTACAATCCTGCCTAGTTATTTCATAATAGATTTTAGAAAATAGCAGATTGGTTAAAGATAGAGATTTATAGGTAAAGGATTTATATAGATCTGTAGATATTCCTTTTATAGTTAAGTAGGGTATTTGAGGTCATTTCTATCATCATGCCAAAATTGATCATCAGTACTTGTTTGAAAGAAAAAAAAATTTTTAATATATTTTAGGGGAAGTCAAGGTCAACATATATTATCTTCACATATAATGTTTCCTGTGAATTAATCTGCCTCTTTATATGGATCCAATATTTTTCTATTAATTTATTCAATGTTAAATTTTTCAGTAGAAATCTGGTGGTATCTCATCCTGGTTAGTCATAATTTCAAAATTTCTAAGTTGACTTTCAGTACTATAAATGTCATTTTATAAATACTATTTTAAAAGAAAATAATACCACTGATTTTTTTTTCACTCAAATAAATGAGTGTGTTTACTATTCCCTTTCTAGCAAACATCAACTTTAAAAAGGCATTTTATTCTAAGAACTAGAAGATTCTACCTGATGAAACTTTTATTATTATGCACTAATTTTCCAAATGTTCTCAACCAATCTGATTTATAAAATGATTTCTATGAGTCATGAAAGATAAAGTCTGAGGAACTTCCCATATATCCAAACTAAAAGAGAGCTCTAAGAAATTCTAATTAAGATGCTTTCATGATGAAGGGAAATATGCTACTTATCTCAGACAGAAGTCATGGGAGAGTTGAAAGAAGAAATTCGACCCCTAGCCAAAAAAAATATCCAAAAATATTTAAATATAGATGATTTGGTTTTAGAGAGTTTAGAATTTTTCCCTGCCCAAAAGAATTTTATTTTGCAAAAGTGAAAAAATATATATAGAATCTTGCTTATTCACATGCAATCTAAAGGCAGAAACTAGATACCATTTGGCAAACCAAGACAAATTGTTTGATTTACTAAATATATCTTTATTATCTGATGTCTACTTTATTCTTTGATCATCTGTCTCTGTGTTTTGTATACCTACAATCCAATACTCTTATTGCTATTGTTATATAATGATATCACAAAGATATTGAAGCATTAAAACAACAAAAAAATCATTCAGAGCATTAATCCAGGTTAAAAAATGAGACAACTACCCAAATGCACTTACAAACATAGTGAGTCAGTTTTACAGAAAATTACTGTGACTTTTTTGGAAGGGGGTGAATTGCTTTTTTACTTTGTTGGCTTTTTCACTATGTATACACACACTTTTAATAATTATAAAATTGGTGTTTATTAAAGTACATTTCATTTCCAAAACTGAACTATCAGCCATTAAACTGTGTATACTTTTTTTGGAGGTGGTACTATATATAATATTATGAACAATAATAAGAGAGTTTACTTTTGTTTCCTATATGAATCTAGAGCAATCTGTTGATACAAAATGTCTGGTGTCAGAGCATCTAGAATAGTCCACTCACAGCTTTTATTTTATTTGCAAAAGTATTTAAAATGCCAGCCTGTGTTTTTATTCATAGCAAGACATAGGAATGTATCACTAAGAAAACAGACTTTTAAAAAATGCAGATATTTCTGCTGTATTTTAAAAAAAAATAGAAAATTAGCCACACTTACCATTAAAAACCATATCTGTAATGTTGCTTTCCTTTACATGAAGTTGAAATTATAGTTCTTTGACCCAATGTCTATGTGTCACACAGAGTTTAATATATAACAATCATTTTCCTATCAGTTAAAACAAAAGTAGTCAGCACATAAGGATAGGTCAAATATGATAAAAACTTGAAGATCTTATTTTTATCTCAAAAAAGATACCTAATTTCTAAGGAATTCCTAGTTAGTTTATCTGAGGTTTTGGTTCAGAAAAAAAATTTCCTACCTTATAATTATACACTTGTGATTGTTTAACAATTTATTTCCACTTACAAATCATGCCCTAAAAGAAAAATAAAGCACAAGGGCTTTTAGCAACTGGGAAGTTATTTGATTGCAACTCTTTTGCAATTATGAATTCCATAGTTAACTGTAATCAGCAACCTTTTAAAAGCCTCTTTTATGCTTAAAACCAGGCTTTCTAGAGCCTGCATCTGCCATAATTAGGTTTCTGAAGTCTGTACAGCTCACTTCATTTGCCTTCTGTGCTCAGATTCATAAGAGAGAAATGTTTATTAAAAGCAAAGAGGGAGAGAGAGAGATCACAGTATCCAGCAATGTGAACAAATAAATCTTTTCCAAAACGCCCACCAATGCCTGTGTTTGCTGTGTCCTGTTGTTTATTTCAGCTGCTGGTGGGGATCATCCAGGCTGCCGAGCTGCCCGCCTTGGACATGGGCGGCACCTCTGACCCGTACGTGAAAGTGTTTCTGCTGCCCGACAAAAAGAAGAAATTTGAAACGAAAGTCCACCGAAAGACCCTCAATCCTGTCTTCAATGAGCAGTTTACTTTCAAGGTATTGTCTTACACTTATCAATTTTTCCTCAGTTGTCTTAGATAAGCAACTAAGCTCATCCTGACACACATAGACAGGCGCATGACCGCTGGTTCAGAGATTTAAAGTGATTCCATTCAGAATATTGACAATTCCTATTTTCCATCCAGTGAGGATTTTGCATCCATGTAGATTTAGCCAAAGCAGGATTCAGCTTGGCCATTCCAGAATATAATGCAGACTGGAATATGACTGAGAGGTCATGTCCACATATAAAAAGTGAGGTCACCTTCAAAAGTGTGTGCAAATAGGCTTGACATTTTCCTCTCTATAAAATAAAGTCAAAAAAAATAATGGAGTTATTTTTTTTAAGTTTCCAAGGTCCTGAACAAAGGTAAACCCTGTTGCAATCACAGGATAAAGTAAGCTATGTTCATTGTTCAAATGGTGCAAATAGACATCTCTCACTGCCAACTTCCGTGTGCACAGGGGCAGACTGAGCCCTCTCAAATCATTCTTCTTACCCTTTCAACAAAAAGGTGTAGATGTTATTTTTATGCACTCATAGCATTTTTCTTTTACTCTAGGCTGTTCCTTAGCGCTCTTCATTTAGTTCAGACAAATAATAACAATGAGAGATTCTGGGCATAGGACAACTCAGCAGGAAAATGTGATCTGCAGGCCCCAGGCATCTCTGCATAGACAAGTTCTATGGTCTTGTCTAGAAGTCACACATACAAATTATTCTCTTATGGGTTTATTGAATATGTGAAAACTATTTAGATGCATTACTTAAAACAATACATTTCTGAAAAAAAGAAATGTAACTTCCCAGTAGGCTGATTCAAAACTACCTTCCCTCAGAAAGCATGTGCCTCATGTCAGTGAACATCCTGGTCTGAAAGAAATGCCTGGAACTGAGGCCATGAGTCGTTTTTCTAGAACTTTGTTCTCCATTTTTTAAAAGAGCAGTATCTCTATTCACTCTGAAACTTTTATAGATAAAAGTTCCTAATGTAAGTAATCCGATTTAAAATATACCCTTTTCTATGCCTAGGATAGTTAATTTACAGTAATAGTAAAACCATTTTGGAAATACTCAGCTTATGAAGAGTTAATCATTATCAATACACTACAGAACATAACATGAAAACAGAACTAAACAAATTGCAAATGATAATTAGAATCATTTTGACTAACGTTAGTCATTTTTAACCACAATTTACTAAGCAGACTCTTACATTATTTGAAGTAATATTATGTGGCCTTTTGTTTTGAGTTACCTATGTCATTTAATTTTTTAATGTATTAGTAATAATTTTATTAGTACTTTATCTAACTTCAAGAAGTTTAATTATTGAAAATTTAAAATTGCCTGTAAAATTTTATTAGGTTCCATTTTATTACAAGAAGTTTGATCAAATTATAAATCCTACCAAGGTATAATATATTTCAATACATTTAAGGAATATGCCACCATTTCTAGAGAATTGGCTAATTTATCCATTAAATATTATATATTATGCATTTTGAAATGCCATAGACAATATGATATAGAAATAGGTGCATAAGCCGAAACTGGTTTGGCTCAATGGATAGAGCGTCGGCTTGGGGACTGAGGGACCCGGGTTTGATTCCGGTCAAGGGCATGTACCTTGGTTGCGGGCACATCCCCAGTGGGGGGTGTGCAGGTGGCAGCTGGTCAATGACTCTCTCTCATCATCGATGTTTCTAACTCTCTATCTCCCTTCCTCTCAGTACAAAATCAATAAAATATATTAAAAAAAAAAAAGAAAGGAAAAAAAAAAGAAATAGGTGCATAATAGAGTTTAAAGCAGATTGGCTTTGAAAAGTGAGTTCAAATCCATTCACATAAACTCTACATAACCCAAACTCCTACTTGAAGGAGCTAGTAATCATTCAAACAAAAACATATTAGGTGCCTGTTGTGTGCCAATACTGTGCTAAATACCTTAAATATATTCAAACAGCACTCTAATGTAGACACTACTATGTCACTATTATTCTGATAGATGAAAAACAAAGATTTATTCACTTTGCCTCAGTGCCTTCAGCTGGAAAGAGGGGACACCCAGACCCAGCCCTATCTAATCCCAGGTTTTTTGATGGATGCTTCTTCAGTACAATCACACACACACACACACACACACACACACACACACACACCTAAAGAGATTTAGCAGATAAGATAAAATTTTCAAGAGTTTATTTCTACTCTAAAATTGATTATTTCTTCTTTTGAAATTCAACTCTTTGGAAGGGTTTATTTTTTTTTCTACTAAGAATGGAAAAAGCGTTGTGCCTAGTTCTTAACTGTAGTATTTTAATCAAATTCCAAATAATTAACAAATGGCAGGAAAAAAATTGGGAAACTAAAATTTATTATACATATATGGTCCAATATTCTTCCTTCTCTTTCCCTTAATATATAGAGTTAATTGAGAAATGTTTGCTGAAGCATAAGACAACCATTTACACAGATAAAATAATAGAAAATGTATGAAAATTGATCAAACCTTCAATGCAAGTCTAAACAATTTCTTAATTAGGCATTTCTATTCAGTTACTGAAGTGTATCTCACTTGGATTGCACTACTTTTCCTGAATATTAAAAATGTTACTAATAAACCTCCCAACACATAGCATCTGTCCCAGATATATTTGAACAGCTGGAGAATTCATCAGTTCTTGGCTTTTGCCACCACTCATCCTAAAGAGTGACATACCTAGGAATGAACTTTAAGATCTTTATTATAATGCATCCCTGATATTCAAAACATCAATTTTCTAGTCAGCTCTTGTCAATCAGTAAATTATTTTAGGGAATAGGTGAGGCACCTTTTGAATTTCATTTAAATACTTTCAGACTTCTAGAATAGCTTTTAGTAAGTCATTAATTCATTAAAATATGACATCAAATGGCTTGAAAGTTATCTACCTTGAATAAGTTACACTCTCACAATATAACTTAACAACAATAATGAGATAGTCTGCAAAGAAAACTTTATATAGTCAAATTGGCTTGGTTTATTTTGGTATTCATCTTGAAGTGTTTATAGCGTGACTAATAGGATTCATTACCAATAATACTAACAGCTTCCAGAAGTTTGGGATAAAGTGATAAATTACTAAGGGAAGTCCCCATTTCCTCCCAAGAAATTTAAGCTGTAAGCAATTTAGTCAAATGATTCCATTTGAGAAAATACCAAAAGCATAATTATCTCCCTGATCTGTTTATTCAAAATAAATATTAAAATTAAATACTGTAAACAAGTAATGTGTCCTAAGCATTTTGTGATCAGATTTTTATCCTCATCTCTTTCCATTTAGGTGCCGTATTCGGAATTGGGAGGCAAAACCCTCGTGATGGCTGTGTACGATTTTGATCGTTTCTCCAAGCATGACATCATCGGGGAATTTAAAGTCCCCATGAACACAGTGGATTTCGGTCATGTAACTGAGGAATGGCGTGATCTGCAGAGTGCTGAGAAGGAAGAGGTAAGAAAAACATTAGCATTTCTAAGATGACAAACTGTACTCACCAGTTCCACTCACGTAATAACCTACTGAGAGCTGCTCTTTACCGAATGATGTGACCGTCCAGCTGCTGACAGCTGGCAAAATAGGGTCAGGGGACCGCATAACCTCATTAGAAAGTACACAAGTCTTCTGGGTGTAATTTGAAAGAAAAGAGAAAGGTTTGTATACTGAGTCTATGGACAACTCCCTGAAGATACACACACACACACACACACACACACACACACACACACACACACACTTTTAAAAGCTTATCATGTGTACTTCTTTAAAATGACAGTAAAATATCATCCTATTCTTTGTATTTTGCCACAATCATTCTGTACTGCTACATAGGTTTTCTAGCTATTGAATAGAAATAAAATGGCACTTTCTCCTTGATTATATCTGGATATCACAGACAGTTCATTGTTTCTCCTGAAGATATCAGAACATGATGGGTGAATCATCAAATATCATTCACAAGGGCTGATATTAAATCCATATTTTAAATGACTCACATTTTTATAGTAGTCTTCACATTGTTTCCTCTCAGTTTGAATAGTTTAACCCAGGGTTTTTCTTTGATTTAAAAGGGGAAGTTCAACATCCTTAGTGCATTTAAACTGCATAATAACCAATTCTATTGGATTATGCTATGCCTGCCTGGCTCTAGCATTTTTCTGTGCTAAAGTCTCAATACGCCAATACCAGAAAGGCAAACAACTCCTGGCTTCTCTGAACTCGAAAGCAATGCCTTTTGCAGTCATTTTTTGGATCCCGACATGAATTTATAATTACCCGAGAGATTGCCAATTGCCTCCATTATTTAGGGCCACTAAGGATTCCGTAGATGTGGTCACTTTCAGGCTACCAGGGAGGTCAGCGAGTGGCCCAGGCTGTCAGAGAAACTCAGCCAAGCCCCTCACCTGGGAATCCTCTCAGCCTAAGGCTTTCTGTGGTCAATATAGTGATGTGAGGTTTTAGAACAGACTTCTGATTGCTATACAGAAATTGAATTTTGATAGTGCTCTAAAGTTCTTTGGTTGTAAAAAGGAGTCAAAATTATTGGAGTTAAGCTCTGCTTTCTTTTTGGAAAGAAATATATATAACATAACCAAATAAGTTAGTCAAAATTAGATTCTGGGATACTGACATAGATTTAGCCCTACTGTGAACGTTCAAGAGCAACCCAAGGGTAATACTGAGTTTTTAAATTTTATGACTTTTATAAGTACCTCTTCCCAATGAGTAAAACATCAACTCTAAATCAAACATCTGTATGAAAACAGAAATGTGAGCTATTTCATTGATTTTTTATATTTCATTGAAATGTTTGATTCTGTATAAATTGCTTAGTTTGGGTGGGGTTAGCAAAGTGGGACCACAACAAATATTTATTAACTAATTGGTTATTAATTGACTGGTTTTTGGTTTGTTGGTTAAATATCAGACTACAATCTACTTGTGTCTCACAATGACCACCTGGCCAGACTGCACGGCTAACACTACTGGCCTCCCTAGTAACTACCAAGTGGCCTGGAATTCCAACAACAAACCCCACTGGATTTCTGAAAGGTTGGTATATTCCTTGAGTGAAAGGGATGTATGCCACCAAATAATTTTTCTCTTTCAAAAATTCTTTGAATATTGGCTGAGTTTGAGGTTTGACACTAAGCTGACAGATTTGGTTAGACTCAAGGATCCAGAATAGGCTGACTTCACCAAAGGAATCACATTCTCACGCCTTTACCTGCTCTCTTTCTATATTTCTTCCTCTTTCTTCCCTATGACTCTTGTCACCCAATTTATTTTAAAATATTCATTTTGCGAATATCTATGAAGCCTGCTGTCTTCCTGTAGCTGTAGTAGGTGTTTAAAAAAAAAAAGTGAAAAGGGTCAACACCACTTCTATTTTGTGGAGTTTAGTGTGGTCTCCTTTTTCTCCCTCATTCCAATTTTTGCCTTACTTATTGCCAGCTAGACTGGTTTCTGAATAAAGTCCTGTGTAATAAACAACTCCTGGCTTTCAATACTGACCAATCCATTTACCACCACAGAGACACTGGTTAAATCACTTAAGCTCTCTAAATCCAGTTTTTTAATCTAGAAAGGGGCCGAACATTATCTACCTTTATTTTACAGATAAAATGGGCTAGAGTATCAAGTTCCAGTATGTAATAAGTGCTCAGTAAACAAGCTTATTATTCTCTTTCACTTGTTTTACATTGCATTATTCACTCCTCCATTTTCCAGCTATATATCTATATATCTATATATGTATCTATAACTATATCATCTATATCTATATCTACTTTATTCTTTTTCTTAACACCTTTGTACTTATTGAATGTCTCTGTAAGTTTTTAATGGGAAATAATTCTACAATCACATTTTTAAACTCTGTAGTTTTTCCTCTTTACTACTAGGAATAGTAATTTTTGGTTTTAATTCTCATAAATTGACCAGTAGTGTTTTGTCTCCATGAGAGAATATGTCTATTACTTCTGCTTTGTGTAAAATTCACTAAATACTGATTTTTAAATCATATTCTGTAATCCAGTGCAAATGGAAAAAAAATTGATTGCTGAATAAAAACAAGTTAGAGCATAATTTAATTAGTATCCAAGCAGAAGGGAAGAGAAGCTACTTTAGTGCCTTAATAGAAAATCAATTTTGTAAGAAAAATTCACATTTTTAAGCCTAATTAGGAAAACATTTACTTCTTAGAAAAGCAAAGAATACATATTCAATCAAATAGCAAACGTTTTTAAGATTCCAATGGTCAGTTACCAGATACTTCTTTAGAATAAGTTAAACTCATTATTCCTTATAGCATCTTTTTTTGTCAAGGATCATGAAAGAACTGATGTTATTTCTAAAACACTTAGTAGTCAGTCTGTGACTCATGCCTCCCAATAATCTGTAAACAACAAATCAATGCCCTGAATGGAAATCCTTTCAGTTAACTACTGGAAGGAAAAACATGGATGCCAGTCAGAACCTGCCCTGTCATTCACAATCTATCACATTAGAGAAATGCAGCAAAGACTCTAATTTTGATCCATAGCATTCCAGGAAGGTTCCATATCAGCAGGGACCCATGTCTATTGCTTCTCACTGCAAAACCAAGTTTTGCAGAGAGAAAGCATACAATAGACCTGCAAAAATATTTTTGAATGAATAATTGGGAAGAGATGATTATTATCCTGTTTGAGATGTTTCAAAACTTTCCTTTTATAGTTCAAGTTGATAATAATAGATGCTTAGCAAAATCATTTTTACTGCTTTTGTTGACAGTCACAAAAATGATGAAATTTTTCTCTCATTTTTTTATTGTAAGGGCTTATTCAGTATCTTTCATACTATTTCCATGATGCATAGAGAGCATTGGGATTGAGCTAAATCTTAAGATTTAGTTAAAGCTATGATGTAAGTTTCTGCTTGCATCATGGAACTGTCCCAGGAGGGAAATAAAAAGCAATTTACAAAAGGAAATTTCAAAAAACTTAAACAAGAATTAAGTTTATCATACTTAGTCAGATTTACTAATATACCATAGTAGATACAATAGTACTGAATTATTTTAAAATATATTAAGACCATGACATATTTTAGTGTATTTAATATCTATATGTCCACTTTATGGAAATGGAAGATAATTTTCCTTTTAACTATAACAGAAGTTTCATTTAATTTTTTTATATGTCTTTGGCTATAACTCTGGTATACGTGAGTCTGAGTGTTTGGTCAGAATTTCAGTGTTCAATTATAATGATTGTTATGCATAATAAGTATTGTCTGCTTCATGATGTGGTTTCTAATAACATCATAAGAAAAAGCAAATAATTTAAAATATTCCTCTAGAATACAGGACTGCAATTTGTTTGCCTTTCTAATTTAAAGACTTTTCAAGCACAAATGGATGAAACCAAATTCTTCACTGAGTTTCTAAATGAAAATTTGCTATTGTTATTTTTATTGTGAATTTCCTAAAAATAACACAAATTTAGACTCTAATTTAGAGGAGAGATCCTGGGCATGTCCCAAATGCCCTGTGAAAACATTCCATTGCTCCCCACTGTCAGACTTAAGCCTGTTCCCTTCACAACCCACCCAAAGGCCTATATTTCCAGCCCTGCTTCCTGGTTTGCAAAATTCATTTTCATTGAAGTTTACCTTAGCTTCTCTGCCCAGACTACACACACAGATAAGAGACCATTTACTGACAGTCTACTGTGTGCCAACATAATTCATTCTTATGGCATCCTTTAAAACTGGATGATTAAACCTGGTTTACAGAATGAGGGGGAAACAGACCTGGAGCCCAGGAAAGTCTAAGAAATTTGTCTAAGTTTATACCACTATTGCCAGATCTAAAATTCAAATACAGGTCTGCAACTCACACCATTTCATCATACCATATTCTTTAAACAGTCTTTCTCAGTCTCTTCAGTCACACACATACACATACACAACTGTTGCAAATTAGTTTTTCTTCTCTTTTTTTTGGCGTGGGAATCAGCATTTGGTCAATTAGTTTTGACAATTTGCAACTAGTTAAAATATTATAGCACACTGCAAATACATGCATCATAGCAAAAAAATAAAGCAATACAAACTATGGCAGTTTTTTTTCTTCTTAATAATATTTAATAAGTACTCGGCATGAATTTCTGCCTAGGATACAAAGCCCTAAAATTCAAAGGTACTCATTAACACAAACATGTTATTATTCACTCATGAGTGCTGAGGAATTTAATGAAGGCTGAGGCATTTTGCTTTCCATTAAAAAAAGAAAAAAAAACATGATTAAATGGAATATAAATTTTCATTTATTCAAACATATATTAAATATCTGTGAAATTATATAGCACTATAAAGTGTATAAAATGAAAGATTGTGACACATGGGAAATGGTCAGTAATAGTAGCAAAATTTTATAATGTAAAGATGTACTTGAGACAGAGCTTTGTCTA